GATCTCGGCCCTGAAGTCAACGAATACGTCCTCGTTTCCCTGTTCCAGAACCGATTCCCGTCTTGCAAGTCCGCCAAGATCATGACCGACCCCATTAGCGGCATGTCTCGTGGCTATGGTTTCGTTCGCTTCTCCGACGAGAACGACCAGCAGCGTGCTTTGACCGAGATGCAGGGCGTTTACTGCGGCAACCGTCCCATGCGCATCTCCACTGCCACTCCCAAGAACAAGGGTCCTGGTGTTGTTCCCGGTGCCATGGGCATGCCTGGTCCCGCTGGCATGTACCCCCCGATGGGCGCTCCTCCCATGGGATTCTACGGTGCTCCCCAACCTATGAACCAGTTCACTGACCCTAACAACACAACCGTTTTCGTCGGTGGACTCTCTGGTTACGTCACCGAGGATGAGCTCCGCTCTTTCTTCCAGGGATTCGGCGAGATCACCTATGTCAAGATCCCTCCTGGAAAGGGTTGCGGCTTCGTTCAGTTCGTTCAGCGTCACGCCGCTGAGATGGCCATCAACCAGATGCAGGGATACCCCATCGGTAACTCGCGTGTGCGTCTCAGCTGGGGTCGCTCTCAGAACAACTCCGGCCCCGCTGGCAGCCCTTACCGCCCTGCTCCTCCCCCGCCTCCGATGTACCCCTCTATGGGCATGCCCCCAGCGCACCAGTACGGTGGTTTCGCGCCTATGAAGGTTGGTAGTCTCAAGAACACTTCTGAAGCCCCTCGGTCATCTGATGAAGCTCAGTTTGATTAACGAAGACTTGTACAGTAAAAAGCGTTCGTTATTCTGAAGCACCTGCAGGAGTTTTGCGTCATTCCAACGATGGGTCTTTTGTGTCATAACACGTTTGCTATTTATTACTGCGAAGGCTCCCCTCTATAGCTCTTGATGGGCATTCTCTCCTGTGCTACTCGTTTGATCTCGTATGAGCGCTTTATTCACCACAAGATTGAGCTCCTTTCTATTTAAACCTATCTCAATGTTCTTCATCATGCCATTACCCCTTTCTTGATGTTTCTCTTGTTGTTCACCATGCCCCGATGTTCCCTTCTATTCTCGTCATATTCGGCCCCTAGGTTATGTTACTCCATGTAACAGCAATTCAAATTGTTTATGCGCTTTCACCCTTACCTTTCCCCCCCCCCCCCTCTTTCCTCCCGTCTCCTATACTCTTCGGGCAGGCATTCTGCGAAAAGTTCATCTCTCATGTCTTTCTCATGAAGCAATCAAGTCCAATTGTGTTCCGCTATGAGGATGCTACGTCATGCTTTTTGCGAGACTGATGGTCTGTACAACACCCTTGTTTGTCCTCCCGTTTCTTCGATTTAGATTTCATGGAAGATCAATTTTTCACACTCTTTTAGCCCTTTCTTTTGTGCGCAAGTGGTCTTTTTTGACCATCAAGCCGGGTTCGTTCCACAGGCATTGTGAGAAGGAGGCGGATTCTCATCAGTTCATCGTCATACCATTGTAGGCCCTGGGAGGATTCATCGTTTCTCAATCTTCGCGTGCCTATGAAGTTCACTCGGTGGCTCAATTGCAACATTGTTCAAGGCTTGGTGGCGGTCTGTTACGCGACTGCGAGCAGTCTCTGGGCGTTCCAAGTATAGCAAGCGTTCGTAACTTTTCTGATTCTTTGCAACTCTTGGAGAGGTCTTCTGTTGCTCGAATATTCATCCACGTCTGGCGTTTACTCTTATATCGTTTGTCTGCCCTTCACGGATGATTCCCCCTTTGCTGACTCGATCGATGAGTTTATGTGCCGCTGCCTGCCTTTTCGGTGTTATCTTCACAAATCGGAATAGCGAATAGATGACCTTCAATGCGCTTTTTGCTTCTCTATTCCTCACACTAGGCCTTATCATGGTACAAGACTTTCTCCTACACCGTGTTGAACATCAGCAAATAGGGGCGCAATTGTCTCGACCCAGAGTGTCCTCAGTTGGCCTCTTCTCACTCCCTCCTTCCGATTTAGGAAAACCCATTCCCAACTTGCCTAATGGAGCAGGAGCGCCCTTTGGTACCTAATCATCGCCTGCTTTTGTCTTCACCTTCATCTCGCCCTCCATTGACTATCTTCTTCGCGGTCAGTTACTCGGGACTTCTCTTTTTGTCCTTGGTCTGGACGTGCATGTGCTTTCATTTACTTCAGTATTCTCTACAGAACCCAGATTCATGACTCAGCTCTCATTCTTCCCGAGACTCGAAACCGCATAGGTTCAGGATGCGATACGAGAATTGGGACGTGCTGCTCTTCCCTGAGAGCTCCAAGGTGCCGATTCAGGAGTTCAAGACACAATGTTTCGTGACTCAAGAAGAAGGTTGGTGCAATCCAGCCAGCAACTACGACAGCCCTCACTAATGCCACTGCAGTGGAGACTCCGTATATCAACAGTGCTGCCATCGTTAATCCTGGCTCTTACTTCATGCCGCGAGCTAGTGTGGTCCAACTGCCAGTCCTCACCACTTTCATCCCGAGCTTGCCTCAGAATACCCCGTTCCGAGTGTCGGTTCATAGCTGGGAGAAACCTCGTCCCAGCCTTTTAATGGAGAGCTTGATGCAACCAGATGATGCCTTGCTCTTCGAGATTCGGATATTCATCGATGGATTATGTGTTTCGTAAGTTCATTTATCTGATACGACCTGTTTGAGCTCAAGAAATGTGCTAAATTGATCTGCAATGCGTGACAGAGGAAGTGTGTTTGGTCAGAGAACTAGCTGGCCGCACGTTATTGGTAAATTGGGCTTTCTCGTCCCTTATACTCCTTGCAAGATAACTGATTGTTTGTCCTTTCTATCCAGATTTAAGTTCTCGTAGGAATCCCTCCCTCTCGTCTCTCTATCTGAGAATACTCTGACAGACTTTGAAGATGTCGATAAGAACGGAGATCAAGACAGCCTTCGTTTCCCGCCTTTCCACCAAGAGATCCTGGAACAAAGACATTGGGAAGCTGGAGACTTGCATGGCAGGATCAGAGTGGTTATAGCTGAAGGATTCGCTCGGCCAAATCGCAACCCTCCGTTTGAGAGAGTCAAGGATGTCATTGCGTTTTCCTTCCAGCATGCGCCTTTGCGTAAGTATTTTCCGATTGATCTCTCTTCCCTCTATCCTAGTGATCTCGGCTGATCCAAGAGCAGAAGTCCTAGAGTGCTCTAACATTGCCTGGCCTAATTCTGGCATGTGGTCCCGTGGGCAGCGCGTCTTCAAATACAACGCTGGAAGCATTATGAGCGGCAAAAAGGAAGAAGAGGACCTCCATGCTCACTCGCCCACTCGACATGAGAATCGAACTGTGGTAGCTAGGAGCAACCAAGTCAGTAACCCAGCGGCTCATACAGCTTGGCCGTATAGGAGTTATCCACCACCTCCCCCGCCTCAGTGGCAAAATAGTAACAGGGAAGCGACTTGGACATATCAGCCTACTCAAGAGCCTCTCATGGCAGACCCTTTCATCGATCCACACATACTTGACCCCGCTGCACGCCATCGAGGGGCAAGACCATCTTGGGAGGATGTGTCTATGCCTGATTACATTTCCAGTTCATCCAGCAGCCGCGCTATCTCCAGCATGACCGGTATGAGCTATGAGCATAGCAAGCAACCAAGTATTGTTGCTCCTATTGACGAGGAAACGTATGCTCAACTATTCGAGGGAGTCAGTCCCCCCAAACCTCTAGCTTGCAGTTCTCAAGCACCCAAGAATACGTCATCAGCACTACCTCCTGTGGCTCCTAAGCTTTCTGCTGCTGCCGAAGAGCGTTCATCGTCTTGTGTCAAGACTGCAAGGCGTCCGTCGATTCTGAAGGAGCTTTCGCACCCGGGAACCAGAAGCGTCTCTGGTTCCAGCGTCAAATCCAACCCGCCTGCCGAGGGATTGCTGGAAGCTACAGCACCTTGCAAACTGCACGTTAGTCCAACGACACAGATCAGGAGCAGGAAGGAGGGAACCTCTTCGGATAACAAGGAGAATGAGGCCACTAGCGAGACACCATGCCGGGATAATGACAAGGTCGACCGTACCCCTACCAAGCTCACTGTGCGCACAAGTGGAAATTTCGAGACACCCAGCGAGACCAGACGGCGGCGTTCTACCACGAGTTCTGCTCGTGGAGGTGTAAGTCTCATTGCTGAAAAGGAGACAGCGCTCCTCAGTCCGTCCAAGAACTTCACCGTCGTCGAAGATCGTGATCAACACGCAGGCTTTGATGACTTTCTGGATGCGAAACTTCAGATTATCGACACCGCTGCTGATCCAGTTGAGATTGACTAACTCGGGCCACCAAACTGATGCTAATAAGTGTCGATAGCTGCTTATGGGTGATGTATTCTTCGATTTTCTTTGAGTGTTGCTTGGGCTGCTTTGTCTGCTACGTTTTCGGTCTCATGCTTTCCGAAGCATCCACATTCATTGATTTTATATATGCTTCTAACTATATTATTATTGACGACAAGAACTGGCGTTAGTGAGAGGTGTTTATCGACGAGCCTTCGCGTCAAAGAAGGGTGTTTAGTATGTTCAATTGATCATCGGAGCATCCATCAAAGATTTCGTAAGTAGAAACAATCACCATATTACCTATGATCTGTAAGGCAAAAGACTGTACAGTAAACGGTTGCCTGGTAAAGATCCATATGCTCCCAGGGCAACTCAGACAAAGCTTGATTCGAGTCTGGATCAGCTCATCATCCGGTCCTCCCTGAAGATGCATCGTCAAATTCCCTCAAGGGCTGTTCTGCTACTGCTAAATGCCTTAAAGGTAGGAGTGCAAAAACAGCAGCAACCTAAGGTGAGATGGCAGAGATCACCTAAACTATAATACTGCATGGCCTCTGCTGCTGCTATATTAGTTGCAGGGGCCTTCGGCGTATTCACTCATTCACTCCTTCTGTTTGTTTACTCACCCACCTTCTTACAGATCCCATCTTGTGTTTATCTCTCTTCTCCTCCTCCTCCCATCCGAACTTTTTTCTAACCCCTAGAAATCATTCAGTATGGATCCCCCAGAGAAGAGCAATCGTCTCGCCTTTGGCGTTACTACCTCCTTTCCTCCCTCTATGCCTCATCGGGAGAGCAATCAGGCTGAACCAAGTCATCGGATTGGCTTCACTTTCCGGCCCTCTCAGGCTTCTCGAGGTTTTTCTGAATGGGCTTCAAGTTCTGCTTGGCACTTGAATGCTTCGCCTTCTGGGGGTCATGCTCTAGACGCCTCTGAGCAGAAGAATCCATCTACTTTTGATTTAAATATGCAGGTGGATGCCAGCGAAACTGCTCCTCTTACCGTCGCAGAGGAAGCGCTTGCGGTTCCAGCTGTTGCGGTACGGGGAGAGCAAGTACAGGGAGATGGCAATTCCCACGGGCTACTTGCTGCGGGTGCCATCACCTCTGAGCAGACCGAGAGGTTGGCGGAAAGGAGTCTTGTCCCAGTTGCAGCCGGTACATCGCGGGATTGCGTGGTATTCGAACCTCAGAAGGTAAGTCTATTTCACTCGAGCTGCGGCTGGGAATGTTCCAGGATATCCTTGTCATCTCTATCGGATCAGGCTATCAGTAATACTCCAAACTGACGGAAATTCCCTGCAGGGCCCTGAAAAGTGCATGCCCCTGGCCTCTCTCGATATTTCCGCCATTAGCAGCGACAAAGTCCTCTACTACTTCGGTGTATTGGCAGTCCAGGCTCTTCTGCTCCCAAGGTTTCAGTGTTCCTCTAGCAGAAAACGTGGCCTTTGGAAAGGCAAGCTAACCTTGTACGGGCAAACTTTTGAGTCGGACTATAGCTTCCATACAACCCTGAAAGCCAAAAGTGCCATGGCGCGTAAGGCCCTTGAGAAGCTGAAAAGCCCCTACTCAGCCTGGAAGGTGCCGCCAGAGCCGATGGATTGCCCTCTAGCGACGGGCTGGAACTGGATCGAAATATTGAAAGGTAGCTTACATATCGTCGCGTTGTCACGATAGCTAATGGCCTGATTTGACAGACTACTGCATTCAGAATTCTTTGCCGGAACCAACGTATACCATGTACAATCACCAGCAAGGATGTCGCCATGAGGCTCAAGTAGCCAACTTTTCACGCTTTGCAGTGCTCAAGCACTACGCTCAGGAGTGGAACTCAAGGAATTCTGCTGCCCAAATGACCCTGTATGCGCTTCTGACCTCTGAGGAACTCCCGCCGGTTGGCATCAGCGGAGCGGTCTCGCTACGGAATTTCGACGAGGGCCTATTAGCTGTGGTCCCCAGAGAAGCAGTCCAAGAGGGCATGAGCAGCGGAAGCGATAGTTCGAAGTGTCCCCGCAAAAGGCTCTTGGAGGATCATGCAAATCAAGCCAAAGCCAAAAAGCGAGGGCTCAAAAGCGGCTTTGTAGGCGTCAACGCCAACCTTTTACCCTTAGCGGGCAACGCTAGGTTGGCACCAATTGAAGAGCATGCGGAAAATGTAGAAAAGAGATGGAGCGTTACCTATCGGGAACTGAAGTCAGAATTGGAAAGAGGCCTGGAGGGACACACCGAAAAACTACAGAGTAAGGTCTCATCGTCATCGTTGTCTTCCTCTCTTCTCCCTCCTCTTCTCCCTCCTCCTCCTGCTGCTGCTTCTCCTCACACTGACTCTTGGAAATAGGAATTTGTCACCTCCTCCCACTAGAAGTGCCAGAGATTCGGATTGAGAGAAACAACGGCCAGTGGATGGAAGGTGATTACAAGGCCGCTGCTTATTTCAAGAATGACCCCTTCCTGCATCGTGCAAGTCCGATCGGAGAGTCCAAAGGCAGCATGTCCGAAGCAAAAGAAGCCTGTGCCCACAAAGTGATTCAATATCTCATCGAGATGGTGAGGGAAGATACTCGCCTGGAAGATGAAGCAGCAAAGGAGAGCGATAGGATGAGGAATTGGGGCAATATTGGTCACTGAGAGGATTGTCTCCATCACAGAGGAGACTCAAGTGTATGAGTAGAGGACTGCCTCCATTACCTTGTCAATACATTCACTACTTGACAATACTTGACCTGAGCATTCTCTGAGCTGTGTCTAGCCTATCAAAAGCTGGAGACGTCCTGATTCAAGTTAGAGTAATGAAAAGCATGCGGATGATGATGGTGCTGGCTTGTGAGCGCTTGCGCTCGGCCTCGCAGGTGCTGTAGAGTGGACATGTCCCCGTCCGGGTACTTAATATTGCTGCAGACGGTGAACCTGCTACTAGTGACCCACAAGAACCTAAGATCAAACATCTTAGTAAGTTCTTTAGAGCCAGGGGTCTGATTACTAGGGCTGCTGGCTTCAGTGCATTTGAAAATAGGTATGAGATTTATACACAATAGGTCAGGGATTAGGCTGCCTTCCAAGGAAGGGAAATAAGTAGCCTAGGCCTAGCCCTTGGGGAAGCACAGGTGGTTACTTAGTGTAGGTACTTTCATGAGATAGAAGGGGAGGGGGTAGTAGCGTTACAAAAGTTAGAGTAGTCACCCGAGATCTCATAGTTAATGAAGTAGACGCAGAGTCCATCATTAAGGCCGAAGAGACACAGCACGTACTCGGTGTTGAGTTGCCTTATATCCGTTCATCCTCTAGGCTTTCTTTATTCTGATTCCGCTCTTCGTCCTACTCGGAGGGTTTGTTCGGCATCTCGTTGGTTTGCGAAAGGGATCTGAATCATGTCAGCCCTAGAGGAAGAGCGTGGCGATAGGAACACAGCAGCTATTGTCAGACTTGCTAGGAGGTAGATATTACCAGCCAGAAGGGCCCATCTTTTCCCCTGAACTGTCAGGAAAATACGACTAGGAGGCTACGTCATGCGATGCTCCTTAACCCGTCATTGTACCTTTCTGGACCAGTAAAGACGGAGAAACTGACTAGGAGAATAGATGTTTGTTTGAAGGTCTGCAACTTCCTCAATTCATAAGCCATTTCCAGAGAGAACCCTCTCCTTGACTAGGGTTTCATCACTCAACGCCGCAACGTACAGGAGCCACTGAATGGAGCCAAAACAGAAGATAACCAAAGAAAGAAGCTCAAGATAAGCAGGATAGGAGAACAGTAAAGGGGATAGAAGAAAGGCACATTTTGAGGAGAGAATCTAAAAGATTCTGAAGGGACAAGGAGGATCTTATGTTTAGCTATAACTTGGTGCCCATTCGGAAACTCAGGAGAATAAAATATTAAGTAACGAGATAGAAAGTAAAGTGGGAGAAGGAAAAGAGAAGAATGTAGAGGCTCATAGTCACAGATACCCAGGTGAGTCAGATGCCATCAAACACAGTGGAAGGCGTCTTGATAACTTGCAAAAAAGGAAGGGATATGCATGAAAGAATACAACCAACGCCAGTCTCACAGCAAATATCCAGATCATGTCGACAGACAGCAACAAAGGAAATGAGAAAAGGAGAAGAATCACAGAGAAACCGAATAGGCCAAGTTGAGCACAAGTTTGGAAAAGTTATGAAATGTACAGAGCAAGGGTATAATGGAGTTTCAAAGCTGAAGAACCGTCGGACTCATTTATAAGCCATCTCCAGCACCGGTCTCAACACCATCTGTTGGATAGGAGATGTTTGGGTCAAATCCGAATCCAGCAGTATCCGCATCAGTGTTGAGGAAGGTGTCGAAGTCGAAGTTCTCAAGGATATCGGGGTTCTCTAGAGCGCTGAAATCAAGATTGAACGCAGACGCCTGTTGTCTGAATTAGCAACAATCGCTCAACGGGCAGTGGATGAAGGAATGAAGGAATATCATACATCAGGAATGCTGAGGTCGTTGAAAGACTGCTGGGTCTGATCCGGTGGTGGTTGTTGTTGCACAATAGGCTGAGGTGCTGGTGCCGACGTTGGTTGCTGAGGAGCACTTGTTGTAGGATTCGGCCCAGCCTTATTGAAGGAGCTAGGATGCTGAGGGGTGATCGGCGTCGACGGGGTGGGTGTGGTTGGAGGATGCTCGGCTTCGGAGGAGGGTGTAGCAGCCGTGTTCGCGGCCGCGGCGGCAGCGGCAGCGGGTTGCTTCTTCGTTGTTCGCTAGAATTGCGTTCAATAATCGATTTAGTCAAAATTGGGATGGAAAAACATACCTTCCGTGCAGTGTCCTTGGGCTCTTTCTTCTTCGGTGCCGGTTTACTCGTCTGCTGAGGCGTCGGAGGAGCAGCATTCTGGGTTTGAGGCGATGTCCGACCAGTGTTGGCACCAGCCGGTGGGGCCTGAGGAGGTGGCATGGAGTTCTGAGTCTGAGGCGTCCCGGTAGATTGAGGTTGCTGGGCCGGAGATTGGTGTGGTGCCATGGGTTGACCCTGTTGCTGCTGCCAATTGCCACTCGGAACCCGGTTGACTGCTCCAGCCGGAATGGGCTGGCCCATTTGAGGTCCGCTGAAAGCCGGATTAGAGCTCGGCGGACGCATACCGTTTGGACCGGCCATGGCATCCGGCATGCCCTTCATGAAGAACTGGCCGCCAGCCATGTCAGGAGGCATCTGGCCGCCGTTGAAATTCATTGCAGCTGGTGATCCACGGTTCTGAGCCATGGCGTCTGCGGCGCTTGGGGAGCCTGGGAGACCGGTCTGAGGCATCTTCGGAGTACCTCGTTTCATTTGATCGTTGGGGTTCGGTGACGTGCCCGCCCTGCTGCCTTGGGGAGAGGTGCCTGGAGGCAAGCCTTGCTGCCCAGGCATTGGGGGCTGGCCGTCAGCACGAGACATGCTGTCCTGCTCTTGACGAGCCATCATCAGACGCCGCTTATTCTGCTGTTCAAGCAGCATCAACTGCATTTGATAATCCTGGAGAGCATGGTTACCGTGCTGACCGCCAGGTGTCTGCATCCCAGCCCGAACCTGGGCCATCTGACCATTCGCGCCGTAGTAGTCGCCGTTCATCGGATACATATTCTGGCCGTCTGGCATAGGCACCAGATCAGTCTGGTTCGGCATGACACCGGGGTTCATTAAGCCATTCGGAATGCCCTGGTTATTCAGTGCTGAGCGTGAGTGATGAAGGGCTAAGTTCTGAGCATATACCTGGATGGATTTTTGCTGAGCAGCCGGACCTGGCTGCTGGAAACCCGCAAACTGGGCCGGATTCATCGCCCGTGGGTTGAGTCCGTTTTGCATCAATAGCGCTTGCGAGTTCGGCTGACCCGGCATGCCTTGTCCTTGACCCCGACCATTGGGTGCCAACTGTTGTCCGTTCATAGGACCGTTTTCGAGGCGTGGCCGCTTGGAGGGTGAAGGAGCATTTTCCGCAGACGAGGGAGATTGTGGGCGGTGTCCGTTCATGTCCATGTCAGAGTGCTCTCTTTGCATCTGCTGCATCATGTGCATTTGCTGGTTTTTCTGAAGCTGTGCGATTTGCTGCTGCGAACTGTTATATCTTGATTAGTACAAGATTCTCGCGCAAGACAGCCGGGCTCTGAAGAGGATACATACAGGCCGCCGGTGTTATTCTGCAATACGGTTTTCTGAAGGTTTGCAGGGACCATGCCGTTGCGGCGCATATTGAGGGGACCCATCTGTCCGGGCATCACCGGTTGTTGCCGTAACAATTGATTGTGTTGCTGCTCTCTTAGCCGCATCATGTTCTACCCAATATCCATTAGACTAGACCAATGTCATCCGGAGCAGGAAAGGCGATAATTACCTGAGTGTGTTGGAGGTACTGTCTCACGTCGTTGCTATTCCCTTTCTTGCGCTGAGCCCAGAAGAAATCCCAGAACAGACTGAACCAATCTAAGAGGAATGAGGATTGTTGACTTTCGCTGGCGAGATTAGGTCGAGGAAGGTCATCAGGAATCTTAATTTTATCACCGTCCTTGCCATCGGTCATCATCGCATCGCCTTCGACGCCATTCATGTCTTCACGACGGTGACCCGGACTTGTTTTTGTGGGGGGTTCGGTGTTCAGTTTGATCGACTCGTCTTTCACGAGAGCCCTTGCACATTCATGGTAGCCACGCTTCAGGAAATAGTCGTAGATGTAGGTGTTGAGGTTGTTGATCATCGTCTCAGGTATGTTGTTCACATTCCCATCATTACGAGGAGCCGTGGAACCGTTATTCATCATGGGAACACCACCAACCGGGCCCCCAGCCCCAGGATTCATCCCCGCCACATTCATCTGATTCATGGTGGCACTGCGAGGAGTTAGGCCACCCTCGCTTGCTGTTGGTCCCTTATGAAAGCCGTCGGTGAGATTCTGTTTCAGCGCGCATCCACCGTCTTGAGGCGAGATATCTCACCACAAATCGAAGACGAGGCGCGCGTGCGGATCTGGGTACGCGGGTACTGAAAGTAGGCAGAAAAGGCGAAGTGACCGGCGCTTCGAACTCAATAATAAAGGCTCTAGGTGGTTCCCTTTTCCGAATCAAGCACGAATGCAAGATCGACAACCAAAGTCGATAGGTCCGAATCAACTCCAGATAGCGTCCACAAATCTACCAATGCCAAGTCAGAAACCGCGATGATGCGAGAGCAAATTGAAGACCACAATGATCACCCACTGGGAGAAGGAAAACAAGCGTGATTGTCTCAGGAGCAGACGCGAATGGGGGAAAATATTATAACGGCCGATGCTTTTCAAGCGCACTCGGGAAAAAACCAGTATGGCACAGTACGTGGGATCTTCTAAGGGATCTAGTGATATTGGGTAAGGTCGGGGCAAAAGCAACAAGGAGAGAGTGTAATAGAACAGCCAGAGGGGAAAGTGCGCGATAAGATTAGTCGGGGATTCGATGAGCGACACGAAGGGGCGAGAGGCGCAAGAAGATGGAGGAGAAGACGGGTGCGGCGCTTTAGGGGAGGCAGGTCAAATCATGCCCCAACGGGCACCACTTGGGAAAAAACGAGAAAAAAGAAAAGAATTTAAGATGGAAATACCTCGACGAACTCTGGAAGAAAGATATGATGATTGTAGATTCGGCAGATCCGGCCGATCTTACGAGGAAACGGTTGGAGGGAGAGGAGGAGGGGGGGGAAAGAGGCGAAGGTTAGGACAAGGTGTGAAGCGGTGGATCTGAGGTGATCTGGTGGGTGGGAGGACGTGGATATCCAGCGCGGTGCCTGGAGGTGGTGCTGGGCTTTCCTTCACCCTTCAGTCGCACGTCGGCTGGGCGTAAATCGCTTGTTCGGCACGGAGAAACCTGCGCGGAACTCGGCGGGAGGGCTGGGAGATGCTGCGTTCTGGCGTATTTCTGAGCATGCAACCCAAGAGGCGAAGAAAGATACTCCGTAGATACTTTACAAAGCGAGAAGGTAGAAAAAAATAAGGGGATAAGAACGACGGAGGACAACAAGAAATAATAGAGATCTAAGATTTTGAAATCATTGAGATCGAACCTCAAATGAGACTCATCAATAAATTTTGATGAGGGAAAAACAGGTAAGGAAAAGAGAGAAAAGAGGCAGGTTGGAATATCTAGATGTATCGCGCGGCGGATGATTCTCGCAAAATCATTGTTCCGAATCTGCAACAGATGGATGTTATACATCGTAATGGAACCATAACAGTGAGCGATTTTTCCACGATTTGGAAGATAAGTTGGTGGAATCAGTCTGAAGCAATAGCAGAGAGAGAAGAAAACCATATCATCAGAAGAGAAGTTGTTATCATGTTATGCATTCACATATATTGTCCGAAGTCTGCTGGAAGAAACTCAAGAGGTATTGAGAATACATTACCGGTGGTTAGGACGGGAACCATCAGTACCTAGTGATACCCGGATACCGTGCAAGTACATAGGTAGATACAGGTACTACTATGCAGAGGTAACTAGCAGACTATGAGAGATGGATACTTTGTGGCTATCATATCAATTAGACATGTACAGCTGTACAGTTTTGCACTACTTTGTCCAGACGTCGAGATGTCAAGTCTGTCTTGTGGCAATCCTCTGGCTCTCCGCGATGTCCTATGAGAGTATCTAAGGTACATAGTAGAGGTCATCAGATGACAGGTGCTCTTCCCCAGGCACGATGATCATACCACAGGAGACTGCTCATCATATCTTTGCCCGATCAATCCGTGCGGTAGCACAAGCATAGTTGTGGATGTCCTCCAGAGTGACTCAGGTAGTTTGCCAATTTCTGACTTATCATTTGTTTTGAATCTCCACAGAATCTGCATCCATAAATGGTTTCATTTCCCGTCGTGTATTTCATGTTTCAGCTAAGTATTAAGGTTGACAATGGCGATCATCTAGAGAGATACCTAGCCCCAGTTAGTGATAATCTTTCCTAGAAGGAAACTAATATGATGTTATCGGCCAAAAAAAATAAGGGTTGTCGACTGTTTTAATTCAGGTACCTAAGGGTGTATCTGGGTCCGAACGTCACTGTTTCTGAAATCTTTCGTGAACTTTTTGCATAATCGTAACATATCATGATTCAACCATATGATTTTGTCAGAGGCTGCCAGATCACAGATGCAGCCATCTAGCAACATCAACCCATATTGCTGTATGCTTTGCCTTTGCAATGCCTCTTCCATCTTTTAGATGTTTGAGAGACTTACTCCTCCAAGAATCAAATCGAAGAACAGGCACGCAGCTGTTGAAGCAGAGACCAAAGCTGAAGAAGCAAAACTTCAGAGGCAGGGAAACGGAAACTGGCATCCACACCCCATGTTCAACCACTATTTGAATCTAAAGCCATCAGATCAGGCGCGGCTCTCATCAGTGAGGCCTAGTGGAGGCAAAAGCTGGAGCTGTAGAAGTAGTCAAACCAGCACCCATACCCCATATTCGACCACTGTCTGATTATAAAGCCATCGAATCGGGGGAAGTCAGTCAAATCGTCTGCTAGAATTCTTCCAATGATCCCCAGCATACAGCAATAGGTCGATGTTGCTTGATGGCTGCATCTGCGCTCTGGCAACTGCCGACAGAATTAAGGTATATGGTTAAGTATTGTCACGTCATGCTGGGTTGAAACGTTGTTTAGTTGAATTTAATTTTGACAATTGCGTTTTCCATAGCGTGAGGCATAACCCTCGTTTTGGAAGCGCCGGCCGAGTTTCGACCAGCCACGAAGAACAGGTCGCTATTTTTCCATAATCGTAATTGAATGGGCATGAAAATGATTCGAAACTGCAAAATTCCAGAACACCAGACGCCTTGATAGTCTAAAAATTCCCTCATTCGAATGCGCGTCTTCAATCATTCCTCATCCGGCGGCATCTCATCCTCAATGTATCGGACCAATGATACTCGCATCTCCGTGGTATCATCACCTCTTAAAATATCGCTGACAAAGTGGGCCTCGATTTGCATTTGAACCTAAGAGGGACGTTAGAAATCCAGCTGCTAGAAGTGGTAACATTCATGCAAATGCCGCCTCCTGGCTGCGTCTTACCATTTCGAGTGCGCCTCTTAAAACACCACATAAAATATTGGAGAACCACAGTTCATCTTGTGCTCTTCCATCGTCCGGGAGCTCCACAAAGTCTGCCAGAGGGTTTTCATCGAAAATGAGAGAAAACTGATTGTTGTCGCTCGTCCAGTTCGTGACTGTAGGCGTGATATTCAGGAAGATCTTGAAGCCAACCTATTCCCGTGATAATTGTCAGCGACTACGTCCCTATTTTCGGTTCATGCAAATCCCATTCAGAGATGATCACTTCATACCTTTGAGATCATGTCTGCTGTCTCTCGGAAGTTGGCGCATCGGCCCATACCAGACTTAGCCAGGAAGTCTTCAATCAGTCGCATACCGATATTATAGCCCATTTTGTCCAGCTGTTTGTTGACCTCCTGATAGTTGCTGTCGTAGTCCTGACATAATTGCGCGACAATCGTTCCATAAGTCAAGGTAACCAACTCCGCATTAACCTTGTCAACCCTCGTCCTAAAATTGGTAGCATTAGTTGATGCAATTGCTTCCAGCAAGGTTTACACGCTGTAGATAAGAGTTCCAATGACGAGGTAGGTAGAGGCGCTCCGCTTACTGACTTCCAGAGCCTATGTTTGGGTAGTTAGCCAGGTTCTCATCATTTGGATGCGACAACACAAAACGATCAGACTCACTCTTCTCCAATCCGAGACACCTTCGTGGTGGACGACATGTCTAACTTTGTGTGGGATTAACGATAGAATGATCTGTTTCTCAACAAGCCTGCAGGGTTCGTGATTGAGTTGAGACAATTGTCGAATGCGGATAATCTACACCCCCCGCTGGAGTCGGTGGATCAATAATAGAGCAGGTAGCGTAGGACCGTAGAACTAGGCGGAGTTGCACTATGGGTCCGTAGGTTAGCGGCTAGCGCGTCTAATTTACTCTTAGGCGCTTGTGGGAACTTGAGTAAAAGACCAACTGCTCAATGACGGTAGATTGGTCTTCAGAATATCAGCTTCCAATTGCCGATCGACTTGTTGTTTTTTCTTGTTCCGGTCTTGTTGCTTTCTATATCAGCTTAGGTTTCTCACAATAGTAAGTCACCGCGTTCTGCCGCAATGATGTCGGGAGAGAAAAGACCAGCGCAAGAAGCCTTCGGCTCCTCAAATCAACTTGTCGTCAAACGAAAGAAGTCCGACGGAGATATCAATGCTGGGACAGCTGTTGTGAAATCTTCAGCTCAGAATGGAGCTCTCGTGCAAGCAGTATGTTGCCTCTGGACTACTGCTCAGCAATCCTGAGGAGCTCTTTTATTGATCACTATGGCAGATTCCTCGTACCAGTGGGCTTGATGCCCCCATAATGGAACTGACAGGTGAGGCAGAAGAAAAGAACCGCTCGGATTTTGCGTTAATACCGCATTCGCAGGTCATTCTGGCGAGGTCTTCACCGTGCGATTTGACCCAACTGCACAGCACATTGCGTCTGGCTCGATGGATCGGTCTATTTGTGAGTCGCAACTGAAGCTCGGCATCCTACGAAGCATGACTGACGCATCTTCTGTGAACCAACAGTACTTTGGAACACATATGGGCAATGCGAGAATTATGGCGTTCTGACCGGCCATCGTGGGGCGATTCTGGATTTACAATGGTCGCGAGATTCACGGGTGATTTTCTCCGCATCGGCGGATATGACACTAGCGAGCTGGGACTTGGAAACTGGACAGAGGATACGACGCCACGTTGGGCACGAGGAGATCATAAATTGTCTTGAAATCAGCAAACGAGGCCAGGAGCTTCTGGTTAGCGCGAGCGACGACGGTTGCATAGGGATTTGGGACCCACGACAAAAGGATGCTATTGAATATCTCGAAACAGAGCTTCCCATTACCGCAGTAGCCCTGTCGGAAGCAGGAAACGAAGTCTACAGTGGAGGCATTGATAATACGATTCACGTCTGGGACTTGCGAAAGAAATCTGTTGTGTACTCCATGGCTGGCCATACGGACACCATCACGTCCCTGCAGATTTCGCCGGACTCGCAGACCCTGCTGTCCAACTCTCATGACTCGACAGTGCGCACTTGGGATATTCGGCCCTTCGCTCCAACAAATCGACACATCAGAACATACGACGGTGCCCCCATGGGGCTAGAAAAGAACCTGATCAGGGCTAGCTGGGATCCAAAGGGTGAAAAGATTGCAGCTGGTAGCGGCGATCGAAGTGTTGTGGTCTGGGACTTCAGGTCTGGGAAACTTCTATATAAGCTTCCTGGGCACAAAGGCACTGTCAACGACGTGCGATTCTCGCCGAATAATGAGCCCATAAGTGAGTCACACGGAATTCGTTTCATGCCTGCTTCAGTGGCTAATTCTATCGTGCAGTTGTATCTGGATCGTCAGACAGGACGCTCATGCTTGGTGAACTTGGAAAATAGAAAATAACCCTGTCCCAGGATTAAAAGATATCATACATTTCTTTGCATGCTGCACTACGCTCATGATTCGCTCCTTTGCGTCATAAGGCGAACGTCATCCACTCCGGGTGGTGTCAAGTTTGTCGAGCGTCCTCCTTGAAGTCCTGTTCTCGCGACCGCATGAAATGCAGCTCATCTCCCGGCGATATGGCGAATTCCTCGAATTTTTGGTCATGCAATCTCCATAATGATATCCAATTCACGTTCGTCCTTTTTATACTCTCAAAGAGACGGGTTGAGTCGAGGCTTGGCAAGGAGCTGTAAGACATCAAAGGGCAGGACACTTCGTTCATAAGTCATAGCTGGGTTTTGAGATCAAGAACTTGCATGTTTGTTCTCATGATGTCTACCAACGTCAGAAGAATATCCATTTAATCTCAGGTCACTTGAGTCATGTATAAACAATCTGTGCATCTAGTTAGCATGAGCCTCACGCAAGCAATCCTGAGGATGCTCCACGGTTGTCGAGTGCAGTGTATCCTGCCCCTTTGACAGCTAGATACCAGATAGCCAAACGGGTTAGATCCGTATACATGGTTATTGAGCCTTCTCTAAATACTGGCAGTATAAGCGGCTCAATGGCCATTGGCCGGTAACTCTGAGAGCTGTTCTGAAACATTTCGTGTCTCGTGCAGGTGTTTTAGCGGCACAGTTGGATTTACGCCCCCTATTTATCTATATCCAGCATGTTCCCTACTCTATGCTCATAATTGTAGAGAGTGGGATGAGAAAAATGTCCAGAGAACAGACGCAATTTACAGAGTAGACAATTCAAGAACAACCATCATCATCATCATCCCAGAATAGGTTCATGATGATCATTGATCAAGGTCATGGTCATACGTAGACACGTGGGTCTATCAGGGGTTGTCTGTCTTTTAGTCCAACTAGTCTCGGCCTCTCCGCTATTAATGGCTACAACTTTACTCCTCTATCTAACGATCCTCTGCAGGGCCAGGCTGGATGTGCTGTCCAAGCTTCTTGGCCTCTGGGCCTCTGTGCTTCTTTTCTTTTTGAGTTTCCTCCTGTTGGCGCTTCTCTTTCTTTCTCCTACTCTCTCAAGTCCCCTTGATATCTTTGTTGTTCTTAATCCATACGTTATTGTAATTCACCAGCTTCGAGACACCTCCATTCTTACTACCGCTGGGCGGCCAGGCGCTCCTCTTCCTTCTCAATCTTTTCGCAATCCGAGATATTCCAACCCTCTTAACCCTTACAATTCAATATATCGTCTCTCTAAGTACTGTGACTTGGGAACATCTGGCTTGCAGCGAAAGATCTGGGTCCCTACTTTATGTTGCCGCTCCGGCTTCTCCCAATCGCTACATCTTTCCTTTTGTCTATAGATGTATAGCATTGGGAATACATTCATTATCTATCACCCACAGACGTCTTCGATATCGGATTGTCGGTTTTCCACATACAAGCTGATCAGTTCTGGCGGTTTTCGTCGCGGTCCAAGCCCCCTTCACATCTGTTTACGGGGTGCGTAACGGATGCGGAAGTCGGTTAGGGGACACATACCATCAAAAATCGAGTCGACTGATTTTGTTCAAGAAGCTTGGTATACATAAACAAGGGACTCAGGATTTAAAAACGATCATTTATTGTTTCGTCTCTGACCTCTTAACTGCCCCCAATGCTTCATCCGCCTGATTGGTAATAACGAAATGGAACCGCCTCGAGTATCAGCAACACAGCAGAAGCCTTCACATTCATGGCTCAATTCAAGATTCCGCCAAAATGGCAGCAATCTAACAAATTCACATCTTCAAAATGGGAGTCGAGGTTCTGAATATGGCGCTGGACGCCTGGAACCTCATACTCTGGGCGAATCTTCAGCGCCGGGTGATTCGGGCTTAAATGCCGCTGTCTCTCCAGACGCACCACCCGCGCCGCATATTCCAGTCAACCTGCCACGTCCTGCTGACAGTTCGGATTCGAACGGGGAATGGCCGTCCGACGCTCGCTTGACCAGAGAAACACAATCTGAGCGATCACGCAGAGAAGCTGCTTGCTCCAGTCAGCAGAAAAGGTCTTGCATGTCAACCCTCGGAGACAGGAGTATAAGGAGGCGGCTATACACATTGATCCCAGCCACAATCTTCCTGCTTGCCGTTATCGCTCTCTGTAAGTCCATCCCCGTGCTCTCTTGCTCTTTCGGCTCAGTTGGTGCTAACACATGCCTAGACCTTGCAATACACTCCGCTACACACCTCGGTCAGGAAATCCATATTCTATTGATCTTCATGATCTTGATTCTCTCTATCATCTTCTGCCATGCTTTGATTCGCTTCGCTATGGAGATCTTGCAGGACCCAAGGTCTACTGTTGCGAGGAATCGCATACCCAGTAGAGTAGGCCCAATGGGATATGCTCAGCCAGATCGCCCCATTCAGGTCATTCTTGCGGGAGATGAGGAAACTTTGGTCGAAAGCGACGGCGCCGCACGGGAAAAGGTCACGGCTCCCCCTCCAGCATATGGTCTTTGGAGAAGTAGCGTGGTGAGTCTCTAATCCATTTCTTTCGCATTATTCTGATCATTAACACGTTCTCAGAAAATCAACCCTGATCTCCTCTATTGGCAGCGTCTAGAGGACAATGCACCTCCACCCGCAGCCGTCAACGGGATAGAAAGAAGGTCGAACAGGAAGCCTTTAGCGCCTAGACCTCCTAGTTACACATCCGATGATGGTGTTGATTACGTGATTCAAGCGCAACCACGACCTTTCGTGACCCGACATGATACTGAAGATGTCAGTAATGCGCCGCGTCCGACTTGATTCGTCCATGGCGTGTTGTTTACTCCTTTGCTTTGACAGTGTTTTGGTATAGCGCATTTTGTTACTCGAGATATCCCATGTTGAGTCTTCTATCATTGCATCAGTATATTTGATTTAGCGCGAACATTGCATCCGAGTTCCAGCTTGTGCTGTAGATCAGATAAATTAAAAGTAAAATTATTGACTGTGGTTGCGCTGCATGGAAACGGCATATCTGGCCTTCAGTAGGTACGGAGTATCTAATCTGTCTTAGCCAACCGCCAGCCTAAAGTTGGCGCGGGATGAATTTAAACCTCACGTGCGACATTACTGCCACGAAACAACATTACTTCAAGTCTCGAGGAGGACTCGATAATCCGGTAGTACCTTCGAGACCTCTGACTTATCTAACGAGAGAAGAGAAATTCAAGTTCCCATGTCATCTGCGGCTGGTTCGCTTCTGCGGTAATGCGCTCGGGATGTTGGAGCTTACAGATGTTCGACCTTCGATCAGCATGGACGACTTGGGTCTTACTCCTGTCGCTATGGCTCGCCATGGCTCAGGGTATGAGGACTTCTCAGATAAATGAACTCAGGTATTTCTGTCCGGTAGTCTTGTTGCCCGTTCGCCCTACAATGAGCGCCACGCTGATCAAATCGATGAGCTCAATTCAGGAAAGAGACCGAGCACATGTTCTACCATGGATTCGAGAATTATATCAAATATGCCTTTCCGGAAGACGAGCTGCGTCCTTTATCCTGTCGTCCGCTGGTTCGCGATCGTGATAACCCCGCGCATGCTGAGCTCAATGACGTCCTGGGAAATTACTCCCTTACACTGATTGACAGCCTATCCTCGCTAGCGATTTTGTCATCTAGTCCCGATGAAGGCCAGAGAGCTTGGAACCACTTCCAAGACGGAGTGAGTGATTTTGTTAAGCTATACGGGGACGGCTCGGATGGCCCTGCTGGTCAGGGTGAACGGGCAAAGGGGTTCGATATTGACAGCAAAGTACAAGTCTTTGAGACCGTCATTCGAGGGCTAGGTACGGTGTTTCCGTCCTGTCAATGGGTTTGAAACGACTATTGTATCTGACATTGGATTCTGGTATAGGTGGATTGCTCAGCGCTCATCTCTTCGCCGTTGGTGACCTTCCAATCACCAGATATACTCCTCCAGAACCGGAAGCCACCTTTGCCAAGGCGTGGAACAAATCAGCTTTCCCAGAACACAGTCATGGAATCAAGTGGGCAAATGGGTTTTTTTATGATGGTCAGCTCCTCCGGCTCGCTGCTGACTTGGCAAATCGCCTTCTACCTGCCTTCTATACGGACACTGGTCTTCCATACCCTCGAGTCAATCTACGATACGGTGTTCAACGGCGCCCGTTCTATGCGAATTCGCCATTGAATGCGGATAAACAATGCGACGGGTCTGATTGCGAGGTCTGTCGGGAAGACCGTCAGCGCACTACTTCAGAAACCACGGAAACTTGCAGTGCGGGTGCAGGCAGCCTCGTTCTCGAGTTCACGGTTCTGAGCAGGCTCACCGGAGATGGTCGATACGAAGAGCTCGCGAAGAGAGCATTCTGGGCTGTTTGGGCGCGAAGAAGCGACATTGGATTAATTGGCTCGGGAATAGATGCGGAATCAGGTCGTTGGGTTCATTCTTTTACCGGGGTAGGTCTTGCCTTTGTGCGGGGTTTTCCGAGATATGGTAAAACCGAATACCCACTGATCCCGATGGCTATAGATTGGCGCTGGCATCGACAGTTTTTTTGAGTATGCTTTCAAATCCTACATCCTGCTCTCGTCGGGACAACGCTCCCCGTATGACCCCAGAAGTCCCTGGCAGGCCCTGGATGGTTACTTCCCGCCGTTGAGTGAACATGAGCACTCAGCAGAAGCGTTCCTGCGCGTGTGGGAAGAGTCTCATGCGGCAATCAAACGGCATCTATATCGAGGGGAGGGTTATCAACATCCGCATCTGATTCAAGGCGACATTTTTACCGGCGCAACACGGGCCTTCTGGATCGATAGCCTGAGCGCTTTCTATCCAGGCCTTCTCTCTATAGCAGGGGAGCTGGATGAGGCCATAGGCATACACCTTTTGACGACAGCAGTCTGGACCCGATTCTCTGGCCTTCCTGAGAGATGGAACGTCGCCACCGGGAATATTGAGGGTGAACTTGCTTGGTACGGTGGCCGTCCGGAGTTTATTGAGTCCACATACTATATATATCGGGCCACCAAGGACCCGTGGTATCTCCATGTTGGCGAAATGGTACTCCGGGATCTCAAACGCCGGTGTTGGGCGAAGTGCGGCTGGGCCGGTCTTCAGGACGTCCGCAACGGAGAGTTGAACGATCGAATGGAGAGTTTCTTTTTGGGAGAGACTGCCAAGTATCTATTTCTCCTGTATCACCCTGACCATCCTTTGAATAACCTGGATCGGCCCTTTGTCTTTTCAACCGAGGGTCACCCGCTCATTATACCTACAAGTTCCAGTGCCAGCCCCCATCAGCATAGGAAGCAGGCGCGGCTTGAAGAGCTGGTCAATCAATCAGTTTGCCCATTGGCACCTCAGCCACCGACATTCGGTCTATCGTCAACAGCGGCGCGTCCTGATGTTTTCCATGCCGCAAATTTGGCTCGATTGCACCTAATGCCGAGCAGAGGCCTGACCGAAGGGCCGATTCTAGAGTATGCGCATGACCATCCTAGTGTGACAGTGTCCGATCTATCTTCACCGACCAACTACACGTTTTACCCGTGGACTCTTCCCCCTGAATTGGTGCCCTTCAATGCAACAAGCTCACCGATGACCTCGCGACCCACACTCGACATCTCCTTCCCAGCCATTCCGGGTATGGTCATGGGACCTGGGTCAATTGAGCGGGTTCGGGATGGAATCTTCATCAAGAACATCGGAGGCCTTCGATTGAGCATGGTTCAGGATGTGCCGTCGCACGATGCGACCGGGAAGGCGGATCGCGATGAGTTCCGGGTGCAGGTGATTAACAATGTGCCTTTGGGCAAAGATGAGAAGGTATACCTCTCACGAGAAATCACCTTTGATATCCTCGATCCCACTGATCCCAATTTCACTCGGATGCGCGACTCCGCCATGATTGACATCGTCATTGACGTAATCCCAGAGCTTCTCCGTCGAGGAAATGATTCGAATGGTAATCGCGAATCAGGTGCTGCGGAGCATAGTCAAAACCATGTCATCCACGAATCCGCCTCCATCAACGATAAGGTCGGGAGCGTTGACCCTTCGAACTCCGGAATGAGGACTGTGTTCTCATCTCTAATGGACACTGTGTCTTCACTACTCCGGGACGAGAATCCAGGGTTGACGACCCAATCATCCCCGAAAAAGTCGTCTATTGTACGGTTGAGCCTGCCAGCTGCCATATCTAGCGGCGCAGGCTCGGCACCCGTCCCAGAGGTGGACGACGCTTCTATTGTTTCCATCTCCGGGGATCCGTCTAAAAGTCGCCTGTCGTGGTCCACGATTTACTTTGGCGATGAGATCTGTGATCATCGGATCTTACGGGACATTGCTCAAAGTCATCAAGTCCTGGTCATCAAACGAGGCGGTTGCAGCTTCTCTCAAAAACTGCGCAACATCGCCGCTTACCCACCGTCGCGACATGCACTCAAGCTTGTCATTGTGGTCGATTACGATGAGAAGACGTTCGCGGAGGCTTCAACATCCAAGCCTACCCCTTCTGCAGGTCTGGCCGCCCTTCGCGCTGAACCGTTTCTTATCCGGCCGTTGTTAGACGAGCCGCAAATGACCGCAGGAGGGCTTCCCCGTCGCCATCCTATCAGCATGGTGATGGTTGGCGGCGGCGAGGAAACGTACGAGTTGCTGCGACGAGCGACAGGTCTTGGCATTAAGCGACGCTATTCGGTTCGCTCTCAGGGCATACCGATCAATAATCTGTACATAGTTTGAGGGATTGGCAATAGACATCTACAGTACAACATTGGATTTATGGATATATGACTCCAACGACGACCGGTCTTGCAATGTCGAACATTGGTCTCCTGACCGGAGGTATGAACCTCAAGGTGTTGGATTCGTTCCGCAACTCATCAGAAACCCCACCTATCTCCTTGGTCTTTACATTTGTGGGTTGAGTGCTTTTTACGGTACACGAACTGTTGAAGAGTCCAATAGGTAACGAGACAAAGCTCCATTGACAGACATGCTTGATGAGATACAGGAGGACTTGGATAGTCCCTGATAAATACCGCTACCGAAAGCCAAAGGGTATCAATTGCGACATTATGATAGCAACACATTAAATCATTCCAAAATAAGCAAGAAATCTGAAGTAGCAACTCCCAAAGATACGTAGCATATTCAGCTCTTATCTCTGGAGGTGCAAGACGGCTTTTCATAGTAGATGTGTGGTTGACTAGTGTCTTGATAGACTAGGTACACTTCCTAGGAATCAGGCTGAGGCATACTCTTTCCTTCATAAGTACAATTCGCACAATGCCGCCTACTGTTGCTTACTAGCATGGTAGCCACAGACTGCTCGTTCTGAATTCTACCTTGGTGCTGGGGTCTAGTAGCCCCGAGTTGATGAAGCTAAGACAAGCTCATGATGCACATACTCTCCCGATGACCTGTGTTGATACACTTCCTATACTCCGTAGATTCTATGTAAGTCTAAATCACAAATGATCTGATAAGATGATGTGGCGTGGGTAAATCAGGTCAGGTACTGGACTCCGCAGAAGGAAATTAGATTCTAATTGGCGAATGACACAACCCCAGATCCACTCAGCCTAGGTACATTCTCGGGCCCTCGGCGCATCGAAGGTCGCTCCCTCATCCTCCACGCATTGACTCACCTGTTGTCTAGTTAAACTACACCATATCACCGTTATCTACTCCTAAATTATCCCATCTTTGACCCTTCAGAGAAAACCATCATGCAAGTCCAGACTCCCACCGAGGCCCCCGCGGTCGAAACCGCAATCCTAAAAGAAAGCATCACCACAACCGTGCCAGTAACCGAGACCCCTCCCCCGACCCTCCGACCCCTCTACTTCGCGTACGGCTCCAACCTCTCCTTCACACAGATGCGCCTCCGCTGCACACACAACCCTACCCTCTCCTCCAAACCCGTCGCCATCGCCCGGCTGGACCACTGGCGCTGGATGATTTGTCAGGCCGGGTACGCGAACGTATTGCCGCCGGCGGAACTACGGATCGGACGACAATTCAGCGAGGGGGGCGAGGTCCCCGTGTCCGGGAGTGAAGATGCCGTGTTTGGGGTGTTGTATGAGATGGATCCGGCGGATGAGTTGTTGCTGGATGGGTATGAGGGTGTCGATCATGCGGCGGGGCCGTCGCGGGTTGGCGGGAAGGTGTCTGTTGAGATTCGGCCGAGGGAGCAGGGGGTTGGAGACTATAATAAGTGGTATTTGCCGGCGACGGTGACGCGGTGGCTGGATGAGGAGCAGCGCGTGTTGAGGATGGGTGCGGCAGCGGTGGCCGGGTCCGCGCCGCAGGTTACGACGGTGCTGGTGTACGTGGATGAGGAGCGGGTGAGGCTGGGCTACCCGAAGGATGAGTACATCCCGCGCATGAACCGGGCGATTCGGGAGGCCGAGTCGATCGGGTTCCCAAAGCACTGGGCAAACGAGGTTATGAGGAAATCGATACCGTTGAACTAGTTGCTGGGACCTTGAGGGTCGCCCGCACGAGTCTACGGAGTTACGATACCAGGTATATCTTGCAATCTAAACGAGCACATGCATTGATTCATATGTATATAGCAAGATATCGGTCTATCAGATGTATCAAGACTTGTAATTCTTTCGAAGCTGACCGTAGCTGCAGACCCAGGCACGAGAACACTCCGCCTTTTCCAGAAGATACAGGAACTGTATAAAAAGTCAAGCACTTGTGCTCGAGTCTCAGCAAACTTCTGCGGTACCATGGCGGAGGAGAATTGGCCCGTTTGTAGGGACTCAAAACATAAAAATCGACCCGCAAGCATTGGACTTGCAAATGGTACTGGATGCGTTGTTAATGGCCAAGCTCCACCCAACGCACGTGGCTGCTGTACCTCGGAGATTTTTCAGACCAGTCGACAATGCATCATCTCCATTAGTGTATCGACCTCTCCGAAACGGTCGAGTTCAAAAGCGGACCAACTTTTTCGACGATCATTTGTTTTGTTTGCGAATGTTCATTTTAGCACATTAGTGACAAGAAAAGTCGAATGCGAGGTCATTAAACATAAGGCTTTTTGATTCAATCATGTCCGATTTTCAGATAGGCAATCATAGAGACTTAGCTTCCTGACCGGAGAGGAGAGTGTACACCGGGGCAGGAAGCTTATCCCGTCCTTTGAGGAACTCCAGCTCCAGGATGAAGATGAATCCCATAAGCTCCCCGCCCATTTTCTTGATGAGCTCTCCGGCAGCGTAGGCAGAGCCGCCTGTAACCAAGTCAACGAACGAAGAAGAAGAAGGGATTTCCTGAGACAAAACAAACTCACCGGTTGCGATAATGTCATCAACAACGATAACCTTCTGGCCAGGCTTGATGGCGTCGGCTTGCATCTGGAAAAAGTCCTGGCCGTACTCCTTCTCGTAGCCCTGGGTCTCACAAGGACCAGGCAGCTTGCCCTTCTTGCGAACAGGGACAAAGCTAGCACCAAGTCTCAAAGCCAAGCTGGGGCCGAAAAGAAAGCCTCGAGCCTCCAGACCAACGATAACATCGGGCTTCTGGTTGCTGTGGGTTTCGAGGATGTGAAGTTCAAGGCAACGGAGGAGGGCTTCGTGCAAGGTAGGATCGGCGAAGATAGGAAGGATATCCTCGAAGAGAATGCCAGGAGACGGGAAGTCGGGAAATTGGCGCAGAGCGGCGCGGAGTCTTACTTTAAGACTGGAGAGTTCGGTGGTGCGGGAGGGATGGGAGGAGGGGTGTCCGGCGACTTGGGCGGCGGCGGCATCTGGAGTTTGGGTGGATTGGGAGGGAGTTGATTGGGACATGGTGGAGAAGAGGAAAAGGGAAAGAAGAGGAGGAGAATAAAGGAAAGGGGCGATAAAAAGGAGACGATGTATAATATACAAAAAAGAGAGAAGAGGACGGACAGGGGATGAGGGGTGAGGGAGATC